TCGTTCTCTCCTTGTCCGAGAGGGCAGGGAAAAGAGCCGAATTATTCACCTCCATCCTGCTAATGGCACGAGGTCGTTAAATCGCAAGGGGATGGAGCTCTTTCATGGGATGATTAAGGAATTCTATGTAAGGGACACACAATTGCTGGCCAAGGATGATCTTCGAAGGGGGAAGAGCAATCACTGCGGGACAGTAAGGGTGTAATTTTCAAACCGTTTCAAGCAAGGGAGGTGAACCAAAATCGACACTCCACACCCTAACTGCAAACTGAGTAAATTAAGGGGGGGGGAAGAGATACCTCCCGCCTAGAGGTCGGGGTCAGATGGGCGCCAGACACTGGTTATGCCAACTCCATTGTAAGGACTGCAAGGTCAATTTCTTCTTTGTCCTGGTTCGATTCGTCTTCAGGGATCTCCAGCCTCATCCTTCTTGAATACTCGGTTCTGCCCGGCTTTAGCGAGTAACATCTCCCCCCAGCCTTCACCCTGGGAGCAAGATAACTCTATGAGTGGTGATGGTGAAAGAGGAGCCCTTCCCCTGAGCCTGACGCTCTGGGGGAGGAGAACCCCCCTAGCTTCTGAACATATAGAGTGTGTGCAGATCCAGAGGATATAATCAGTATAGCAGGGGCTGACGGAGAAGACCTCCGCTCGGATGAGAAGCATCCCCGGACCCACCCAAGGGTCCAGATGTGAAGGCCTCGTCGAAGTATGATGTCGAGGAGCCACCCCGACAGGGCTACAACTCACGAGAAGAAGAGGAGCGTGAATCTCACCGTCGTCTTGCTCTCCTCATAGTCACCATGTCCACCACGCCTTGCGGTCAATGGGCGAGCGAATGGCTTAGGGTTAATTGGTGTGGGAATTTCGACGGCGAAGCGGGACAGAAAGCGACACCGGCCGGCGAGTCCGCCCTGTCAATTAGCGCACAAGCGAGCGCTAGTCCAATGAGTGCACCGACGAGCGGACGCACGAGCCCCCCTCCAAGCCACAATTTAATGAAACGTATGGGCCACTACAGGAACGCCCAAGTTCATCTAACTAGAAACATTTCTACTCTATTTTTTCCCATGGGCGATAGCAAGGCCAAGTTCTGGTGGGAGGTGGAATTTAGGACCCTGTTACAATGATTCACATGCACAGGACTCGCAATTATGCAGGGGACTTTCGTTTTTTCCTAACCGTTTTTCTCTCAAGGGGGAGGTAACCTGTAAAATTGGTGTCTTTACACCCTGGCCTTGAAAAATAAAATTAAAAAAATTGTTGTCCTGATCTGTTAGGACTCGGATCCGTAATTGGAGCCACTACTAGGGTGGTTTTTTTTTTTTTTTTGCATGGACGTTTTCTTTCTTCTTTTAAAAGGGCTACCTTTCAACTTGAATGAATTTATGCCAGCACCCCAGGCCTGTTCATGCCAGTACGTTGCAGCATGCATGCTTAAGTCCTGGTCGTTTAAACCGCCAGTACATTTCCCAGCTAGACTATCAAAGTCACGGTGCCCATGCTGCCGTGACTCTCGGGAAGTACTGGACACCGTTTTAAGGGTGTATAATTACATGCATCAACTTTTGACTATGATCCACTCAGCATGCATCCCAAAGTCAGAAGTAAAGGATGACAAGAACACAGAGCAAGGAAGCCAAGCGGAACACAGACAAGACAAAATGACTCAGCAACACACGGCGCAAAAATTCTCCCGAACGCGACCAGGCACTGGCAAGTTAAAAATATCAACGTGAAGAACAACAAGCCTGAAGCTCGAACCGAAAGTAGGCAACACGCCCATAGTCAACTTAGAACTTGCCGAGCTGCTGGTGGCTGACCCTACATGTTTCATCCGGCCGCCAGAGCCGGAATCGTTAGGGGTCTTGAATCGTCACGGCGGGGGGAACAATCATTACGCCGTGTACTACTTTTTAGGACCTACTCGCAGACTATCCAAATTCTAGAAACTACTCAAAAAGCCTACCGACAACGACAAAAAAAGGTAGGCTGACAGGAACCCAGAGAGCAGGCACTGCCTAGGCACAGACAACGCAAATCCACGAGTAGTCCCAATAGACCCAATTTCAGAAAAGACACCACACTGGTTCGGACTCAAACCAGAAAAGCCCCATCATTGACCTAACAACCCACCACAAAATCTGTCCAAACCATTCGGCAGAAGGCTCGAGCACGCTGCCGAACACACGTAGGGTGCCCCCATTATCCAAACATACCCAGGCTACATCAAGGTCACCAATTGCCCCATGTCCATGCCGCGTCCGAGAAATCACCTACTGCTAATTCCAATGGGTAAGACAACCAACCCAATCGTCCCAAATTCCTCCGTACTTAGAGGAAAAACAGCACAGGGCTTTATTGAAGTACTCATCTGAAAAATCTCTCAATCTTAGCTCTATTTTGAACGCAAGCAGGTACGCACCCTCCGCACCGGGCATGCTCGTGAATCTCCTGGCCCTATGGAGGAAGGAGCTGATAACCGCCAACTTCTGTTATCGGCTAGAATAGGAGCATGCATCTTGCAGATTTTGAAAGGGGACTTCATTACGCCTCACAAAATTCTGGTTTTTATGCATAGCAACACTCCTGACCCCAACTGGCATTCCAAAATTTTCGCAATGATCACGACGGCTAGTGCATTCGAGAGTCAAATTAGCATCGTACGAACCCTCGAACTTACCCATCAACCGCCAGGCTTTCCGTTCACTGTTCTTGTCACCCTTCACATACTTAATGAAGATCGAGACATCGTCAATCAGGCGAATTCCATGCACCAGAGATCGATTAGTGCCCAGAGACAGAAGGAAGTTGAATTCAGAGTAGGCGCACAGCATGCACGCAATCGCTGGGCTAGAAGGTTTGCCCATGAGGATGCCCACCCTCTGCCTCAAAATCTTACCGCTTACTTTAACGAAGGTATTCTCAAGGTCAAATTTCACAAAGTTCAGAATGTCAATGAAATTGATTACGCCCCAACCTTCTTGCTTCTTCCCCTTCATCATCTTTGCCCCTTTCCCTTTACTTCTTACAAGCACTCCATGCGCGTCTTCTCCCAACCAGAACTCAATAATCCAGTTCAGAGCGTTCATGATGGAAGGATGAGGTAAGTTACTGAACATTTCTTAAACGTCATAAGCAGCAGTTAGTAATTCTTCATTTTTGCGCACATCCTTATTGACATGCTCAATCCCTTTAAGCAACAAATCTGTACTCTTCGGATTAAAATGTGATCTCTGAGGCATTTCCCAAACCATCTGGTTCAAACCCCTCGATACCTTACGGCATCCACGAATGCTACACTCAGAAAAAGAGGAGCAGATCGGTCGCCATCTGCCGATATCCTTGTGTTTGAGAATGCCATAAAAACTCCCCATCTTGTCCCATTTCGCGAAGTCCTTGAGTCCCTTGTTGTGGTAGATCTCTTCCATTTTTACCAGTAGTTCTTCCTCCGGTATGCATACCTCCTCGAAGCCGTCATTATCCAAGAACAACTTCTTCAGACCAAGAAGATAGAGAGTCGGGCAGCAGACGAGAGTGTCACCAGGATTATGATCTATAGGTACACGTAACCCCCGCATACCCTCCTTCCACCTCAGCACCTCATCCTCAGAGCACGAAGGGTCAGGGTCGCCATTACTCGAGTTGACAGTCAGCCAACTTCAACAGACCCAATTCTGGTACGCCAAAATCCAAAGAATTAAGCGAAACCTTCAGTTCTCTGGCCAGTCGTTTCACGATCCCAGGCCTGTTCGACACAAGAATATTCCGATTGTTTCGTAGCCACCAAGGGGCAGCCGAGCAATCTCTCAAGCGACAACAGACATGCCCATCAACTTTCGTAAGACGATCGTCCAAAGATACGCAACCACACCCAAAGTCAATACCTCTCGCATACTGTCGGAAGTTAAAGATAAGATTGCCTGTGCTTTTATTTTTCAACCAAACAACCCGCAATCGTCGGATAACCATCTCTACCCAATGGCCATCGACTTCAGCCCTCCGAATCAATCCTGAACAAAAGGTTTTAATGCCCGGCTTACTCAAGCGGTGATCAAAGGTTACTCGAATTATCAATCTCTGCCTGACATTCACACCAAACCGTCTTCTCACTACTCCCGAGACAAGCAATCTAAGCAACGTGTGCGATCTTTTCTCCGAGAAGCAGTGGATGGCAAGAAAGCTACGAGTCAAGGCATGGAAACTCCACTGATTCAGTAGGTAACGAGAAGGTGGATAAGATAGAAAAAAAGAAAGAATGGGTTTAAGCTCCAGAAATTTTGAACAGAAAGGGATAATTTGAGAGAAGAGAATGAAGTTACCCGGGCGAAAGCAATCTCTACTTTTCTTCAAAATACTTGCCTCATCACCAATCTTCAAAACTGACGTGCCAAATTTTCGTCTAATAACCTTCCAAGAATCCAGAATACGCTCACCACCCGTGCACGCCACTCCCACCGAGTTAAGCCCTTGCTTCTGGCAATCGTCCAACAACCCAACTAATGATGCAGAAACACGTCCTGTTGTTGCATGAAAGACCATATGAATTTGAATCACCTGCCGACTCAGCAAGCATCCATTCGCAATCTTCCTCCTACACCTTTCCCGTTTCAAGAGCCGTCTCTTCTTGCTACAACGAGCTATGTCTCGAGAGTTTAGATGAGGATTAACCAATCGTATCAGATTCCTTTCAACATCAAGAAGATCTTCTTCCCTGCAGCGGCACAACGGAATGCCTACATATTGCCCACATCTACGGAGCCACGCGTACAACCGATGGTGTCGTTTTCCTTTTTCAACAACATCCAAGTTTAGACAGCGATAGACGTGCTCATTCCATCGGGTAGAGAGAGATCGAGAGGTAGATCCCATGTAAATATGCCTGGACCAAGGAGAGACAAGAGCATAAACCAAGGGACCCTCACAGTTTTCAAAATCGAAATCGTCACGAACCAACACCTCGACATAGTTTTCGAATTTATCCAACCAAGGAATACAGCCATCCAAAATAAAATTTATTACAATCCTTTTAAAGAAGGCATTGAACTCCTTGTCTCTCAGGTAAGGCAAGCCAGAATCCTCATTACTCGGGACAGGGGATATCGTCAACTCCGAGGACGAAACGAGACAGGAAGAGACACGTCTACTCCTCTTAGTCCTACAGTAAATAGCCCAACTCCACAAATAATCACGTCCGGTGGAACGCCCTAGAGCTCGACCGAGCGATCATTGTCAGTCGCGGAAGCTTCGTTCCGAGAGGGTGAGTCATCAGAAACCACTTCCACCTGCCCCACCTTCTCCTTCCCTTTGTCTGCTCTAAGGGCCTTGTTCGCTCGATACTCCGCCAGGTCGGCAATCATTGGTTCGACCATGCCGAGCTTAAGACCCGCCTCTTTGCACAAATTCCCCAACCCCGATTTCTTGTACTGCCTGAGTGCCTTCTTCTGTTCTTCAATGAAAGCAAACCTCTCGTTCGCCTCCCCTGTTGCATCAGTCTTGCTACCACCCTCTCCTCTCATTGGTGTAGCCTTTTTGCCCTTCCTAATTGATCTAGTAACCACCGCCTCCAGTCTTGATTTCAAATCCGTACCCCTGCCCACTGCGTTCTCACCTTCGCCAGTGGCCGCCAGTTTGTCCATTTGTTCCTGTAGCTTAATAACTTCCGCCTCGGCATTGGCACGTTTCGCTTTCAACACTTCAGCTTCAGAACTAGCCGCGCGATGCATCTCTTTCATTTTAATGTACTCTTGTTTCCACTTGTCTATATCTCGTAGGTTGTCAGTCCATCGTGGTTTCAGGGTGCCTCTCGCAGGACAACTCGGAGTGTCCACAGCACAACTACCCCGCTTGTTACCAGGTCTAAGAGCCTCTCCTTTCCACATCTCGACCTCTTCTCTAGCTCGAATGCTCTGCCCCCTTAGAGTGTCAATCTCCACCCTAAGGCCTGCAATTTCTTGCTCGAAATTCGTTTTTACGAGAGTTGTCCCTCTCAGCTGATCGATCTCCTAACGTAGAACAAAGATATCATCCTCCGTGGATTTCTTCTCTGCGACTTGCCTACGCAGGTCCGCAATCTCACGCTGCAGACCCATGAGCCGATCCTCCTCCCCTTTACCATCTCCAAGCAGCAGCTTCTTCAGCCTCTCGTTTTCCTTCTTCAATTGGATAAGCTCATCATTGGCACTAGTCTCCCCCTCCCCATTACCCTTCAGCTGAGGGCAAACCTTCTCCAAACGTTTATCCAAACGTGCACCCATCTCTTCTTCAAAACGTTCGCGTTCCTTCTTCCACTCCGCCCTACGATCCTCCTCCTCCTTCAATTTTTTCTTCCATTCATCTTCTTCTTTTTGCTTTATCTCCTTCTCTTCGTCGGCGATGGCCTTGGCGTAACACTTATCCAGCTTTTCTTGATTGATCTTTCACCACCCCGGACGAGGTTGATTAAACTGCGATCCAGAGTAAGTCGGAGCGGACGAAGAGGGCGGCACGACCGATAAATTCACTCCCGCGGCCGAAGAACCTCCCGGAGCAGGCAAGGCAAGTAACGACTGAGTAGCGAGAGGAGTAGTATTAGCCCCCGTAGCAGGAGGTCTCCCATACCCCCGGTGAGGACATTCACACATAAAATGATTAGGAGATCCGCAGTTGTAACACGACCTCACATGCATCGGTCCAGCCATCCTTCAATCTATACCAAGGAAAGAACACTGAAATAGTAAGTATCAGAGTCAAAGCACGAGCCACGCTACCGTAGTCTAATCTCTACGGAGGTTACTACGTTGAATAAATGGTGTATAATTACACGCATCAACTTTTGACTATGATCCACTCAGCATGCATCCCAAAGTCAGAAGTAAAGGATGACAAGAACACAGAGCAAGGAAGCCAAACGGAACACAGACAAGACAAAATGACTCAGCAACACACGGCGCAAAAATTCTCCCGAACGCGACCAGGCAAGTTAAAAATATCAACGTGAAGAACAACAAGCCTGAAGCTCGAACCGAAAGTAGGCAACACACCCATAGTCAACTTAGAACTTGCCGAGCTGCTGGTGGCTGACCCTACATGTTTCATCCGGCCGCCAGAGCCGGAATTGTCAGGGGTCTTGAATCGTCACGGCGGAGGGACCAATCATTACGCCGTGTACTGCTTTATAGGACCTACTCGCAGACTATCCAAGTTCTAGAAACTACTCAAAGAAGCCTACCGACAACGACCAAAAAAGGTAGGCTGACAGGAACCCAGAGAGCAGGCACTGCCTAGGCACAGACAACGCAAATCCACGAGTGGTCCCAACAGACCCAATTTCAGAAAAGACACCACACTGGTTCGGACTCAGACCAGAAAAGCCCCATCATTGACCTAACAGCCCACCACAAAATCGGTCCAAACCATTCGGCAGAAGGCTCGAGCACGCTGCCGAACACACGTAGGGTGCCCCCATTATCCAAACATACCCAGGCTACACCCAGGTCACCGTTCTAAGGCCAACAATCTCCCACACAAGACACAAGCCACACACACACACGCACATCCGTGATGACCAAAGACCCTACCAATACGGTCCAGGGTGAACAAGGCAACTATCTCGGTTGGTCGGCACCGAGCCGACCCAGTTGGTGGGATCGAACCCATGACCTAATGCCACTTGCCTAACCAGCTGAGCTAGGACACTTGCTCAGATATCAACATATTTCGTTTTTGTTTTTTGTTTTTTCTCAAATGCAACCAACTGAACCGAGCCTACCCAGTTGGCGGGATCGAACCCATGACCTATGCCACTTGTGTGCCTAACCAGCTGAGCTAGGACACTTGCTCAGATATCAACATATTTTGTTGTTTTTTTCTGAGTAATCTATATTCTTCTCTCAATCTTCTTTTGAATATATTCTATCTCATCCTCTCACTACTCTATGTATAGTACGGGGGAACACCAACCAAACCTGGAACTCTCCCCAGCCCACGGGGTAGGTTTGCAACACAGCAGTGGTGCGAGAGCAAGGCTTGTATCAGCCCCTCATCACAATGATGCAGGGTGATCACGCATTGCTGACGGGTCACTTGCACCTCCCCCTGCCCCCCTCCAACCCCACATTAGCGGTGTCTAATGGCGATTATCTTTTGTTTTTCTCAAAGGCAACCAACTCAATTTCCTGTCAAATTTAGACAGGACGGCCCTTTTAGTATTAAGGGGAACCCCATAGCAGCCAGCCGGAGTTCAAGCCTCCAACGAGGGAACATACAGGGCCTGCCCCTGACCCGCAGGTGGAAGATACCGGCCAGAGGTCAGTCAGTAGCATCAGGACCGAGCTAGACTAGCCCATCCCCTCCGGTCCCCTCCCCCTACGAACATCAGCAATCTCTGCTCTATGCGGCTCTGGGGGAGCAAAGCCCTACCTCTTGGTGGCGGGCGCGAAGCTCGCTCAGGAAGGTACATGAGAGCAACACGGATTGAACCCAAGACCTCTTGAATGCCACTTGCGTGTCTTACCAGCTGAGCTGGCCTCTGGGACCATGTCCCACTTGCACCCTTTAGTTGAGGCAACTCAACGGTGTGACAGCTGAAAATGTTCATTTTAATTCAATTGAAAATGAGAAATGCATTTATAAATGGCACCGATTCGATTGAAAATGAGAAATGCATTTATAAATGGCACCGATACAATTGTTCTGTTTTCTCTTTTTTTCACAATATGAGTGGCATACAGGCACTTCCTCAGCAGAAAATGAAGAGTTGCCAGAATCCGGTACGAAAATGGCAAACGGAAGGAGGCTCGTACAGTTTCTCCAGAAAAAAAATGCCTTTTGGGGGAACAAGAGGGTTGTTGAGCTGTCTGTCTCAAAAAAGGGCGACAGCTAACTCAACAGAAAGCCGCAAGGGGTTCAAAATTGGAACAATGGAGATGGGGGGGGAATCGGTGCGAAGTGCTACCAGCGCTAAGGGTAGCGGCGCCGCGGGCAGTAGTGGGAGCGCTACCAGCGGCGGTGGGAATGCCACCGGCAGAACTGGGAATGGCTCGCGTTGGCTTGCCTGTTCCGCGGGGAGCACGGGAGAGACGTTACGACGGGCGGGTACCTGCCAGGTCCACCATAGCCTGAGCTATGGCCTTGGCTAGTCCAGCTACTTGAATGGGCGGACAGCCAACACGGCAGGCCCCCTCTCCAAGTCTTTTACCTTCAACACCTAAGTATGCGGAAAACTTCATGGAACTTCACACCTTACAACACCATCTCGACTGCCTAGGCAGTTTCAAGATTTTCTTATCTTCACATGCCAGATGTATTGGCTGCTGATTGTTGTCCAGATACATCAACGAAGAATATGAGTCTGGAAGGCTGAAGCGGCAGCAGTAGGTGAGCGTGCGGCAGCGGTGGCAGCGCTTCAGCAGGTCAAGAATGCCTTGCCCACCCTGCCAGGTCCCACGGCTATGGCAGCCGCCTAGGGATTGCAGCTCCACCTCCTCCTTGAGTGGGGGAGGGAGTGCCTTTGCGCTCGGGGCTTTGATATCCTGGGAGTCCGACAACAGCATATGGGTCTCGCTCCACTACTGTCCACTGTACAAAAACGGACAGTCGTACTTCACTCCACTTACTGTCCACTGTAAATGTGCAAAATGGCTTGGACAGTTTTTTGAAACCCCGTCGAAAATCTACTGTCCGTGAATGTACAGCTCCCAGCCTGCAAAATTCGTTACGCGGAAAGTCCTTCAAGGGACTCACCGTGAGGACCCGAATTTGGAGAGTGCACCTGGAGTTTGGGCGGACAAAACCCTATGGCCGTCCTGTCTTGTAGTGCTATCACCGTGTCTGGTAGTGAAGCCACGAATTTGAGAGGTGGATAGCGGACAGTAAGTGGAGCGATGTCGCATTTTCCACTGTCCGCTGTACAATTTTTCGCTCTGACAACTGTCCACCAACTGTCCGAAAAATTGTACAGTGGACAGTAGTGGAGTGAGACCCTATCTCATAGGTTACACCAACTTTACAGACTTCGAGGAAACAAACAGCTCAATAAGTTGACGGGAGTGGGCTGTTTGGGATTAACTACATGAAGGTTAACAGCAGCGCCAGCGGAGCAGTGGGATTCATTGATGGCGGTGGGAATGCTGTCAACACTATCAAGGAGACAACGTGGCACAGTTTGTATTTAGCCGCACTGGAGTGCCACATCTATCACCTCTGCGCAGCCCTCTCTCCAAGGCGGATTCATTGATAGATTGCACTGGAAATTCAGGGTGGGCTTTGTTGGGATATCTGGCATTGTGCTCTATACCTGGATTACTGCCTTGTATTAGATTCCTTGCTCCGTCATGGGTATGCTGCATACATGCAAAAGCACGACGTGCGCTGATTTGCGGCGGCGCGGCGCACGACCTGGGTGGCGCACGAAGGCCGAGGAATAAACCAAAAAAAAAAAAAGAGACCGGGCGTCGTTTTGTCCCTGGGCCCCCCCAGCAAAAATGGTATTGGGGCTGAAATTTTTTTTTGGCGGGCTGCGCTCAAGCACGGCCCGAAATGATTTCAAATTTCGTTTTGGGTTGGGGGGGCCGTTTCCTAGTTTTCGCAGGTCGATCTGGCAGGGCTTCGGCAGGCCGTTTGCTCGTTGTTGCAGCCGCCTCCAGTCCACGCTGGGAAGCAGCGCCGTCAATCCCCCGCTATGAGCAGCGCCAACCTCCCCCTGCATTTGCATCATCACCTAGGCTAAGCTCTGGAGCGACCATCGCCGACTTTAACCCTCCTCCAAGGTGAGTTTTCACCAACCCTCCTGCCCTCCCTCGAACTCACCTCCTCCTCCTCCTCCTCCTCCATCTTCCCCTTTCTCCTCCTCCATCTCTCCTCCTCGTCTTGGTAGTGTCCTTTTCTTTTTTTTCCATAGTATCGGGTCTTGTACTCGAAGCTTTGGTAGTATCTCGGACTATCTCCTCATCACCTCGGCTTGCTCCTCGTCCTCTCCTCCATCTCTCCTCCTCCTCATCACTTCCTCCTTCACCTGTCCTCCTCATCCTCCTCCTCCTTGTCAAGGTCTCATCATCTTTTCTTGTGTAAACTTCGATTTGTGTCTGTATCACCTACTCTACCCTTACCGGTAGTCGTCCATCTTTCGTCGTGCTCCTCCTCCGCACCTCCTCGTCCATCTTTCTTCCTCCATCTCTCTTCGTCCTCCTCCTCCGTCATTCCTCGTCAATCTTTCCTCCTCCATCTCTCCTCGTCCTCCTCCTCCATCCCTCCTCGTCCATATTTCCTCCTCCATCTCTCCATCTCTTCTCTGTCATCTCTCCATCTCTACTCTTCCACCTCTCATCCTCCCTGTCACAGCCTCGTCACTTTTTCTTTTTCTTTTTTTTAACGAAAACTTTGAATTTCGAACTGTGATGGTATCTCGTCATCCTCCTCCTCCTCCTCTGTCTCCTCACCCTCC